TCCGAAAATGTAGCTTCGGGCCTGATTGATGAGCACCACAAATTCCAGAATGAGCTTCTTCCATAGCTTGAATCGCTTCATCATCTCCCAAACATCTCAAAAAGACTCCATTAAAGGATCGTCGATAGAGAGTGCCTTTGTAATAGATAAAGCGAGGTGCTCGCCGCCGCACATCAACTCTCTTTCGCAGATCGTCAGGTAACTTCTCATACTTCAAGTAGTCAACAAGAGGTCAGTGTTATTAATGGCGGATGGCGGTACATGGCGTTTTGCCAAAATTCCGCCATTGCGGCCGCCATGGCGGCCGCCGTGGCGGTCTATGGCGCCGCCATGAACGCCATCATTCACAAATTTTGCATAGCGGATTGTTAAAAATCCGCCACGCCATACCGCCATGGCGCCGCCATGGCCGCCATTTGATAACACTGCAAGAGGTTGACGCCAATCTTCCTTTTCAATCTCAAAAACTTCAACGGCGTGGTTTTCATCTTTCTCATCATCTTCTTCATTATCAAGGAATGGTGGCACTACCCAATTCCTACAGACAGGAACATGAGCCTTGTCTTCAGGCAAGGTGAGCGACGAAGCAAGCTTTGCGAGTGCATCGGCTTGCTTGTTATCCTTTCTCGGTACATGATCAATGGTCACATCTCCAAGCCATCCTATAAGTCTCTTGGCGTAGTTCACATACGAAAGCAACTCATGTTTCTTGACCTTGTACTCTCCAAGTAATTGATTAACCACAAGTTTAGAGTCTCCATATACATTCAAACGCAATTGCTTCATATCAACCGCCATCTCCAACCCAAGTATAAGAGCTTGATACTCAGCAACATTATTTGAGCAATTCTCTGTTAAAGTAAACGAGTAAGGCAAAACTTCTCCTTGAGATGTCACAAATACGACTCCAGCACCGGCCCCTTCTCGATGGGCCGCTCCATCAAAATACATCTTCCATGGCGGAGTTACTTCAATGACCAGCACATCTTCGTCGGGTAACTCATCAGAAAGTTCCCACTCAGCAGGGATTGGGTGATCAGCCAAGAAGTCCGCCAAGATTTGACCTTTTACAGCCTTTTGAGGGACATAGATGATGTCAAATTGCTGCAATTGAAGGTACCACCTTGCAAGTCTATCCGAGAGTACTGGCCTCCTCATAACATACTTAAGCGGATTGGCTTTTGAGACGAGACGAACTGTATGAGCTTGAAAGTAATGCTTTAACTTTTGGATTGCAAAGATTAACGCCAGACATATCTTTTCAATGGGTGAGTAGTTTAATTCGTTTGGCGTCATCATTCTACTAAGGTAGTATAAAGCACTTTCTTTTCCATCATCATTCTCTTGAGCCAACAAAGCCCCAACGGAACGTTCTTGAGCGGCTATGTAAAGAACCAACGGTCGACCGGGCACAGGGACAACCAGCACTGGAGGCTTCATCAAATACGCCTTTATGCTTTCAAAAGCATCTTGCAAGACTTATCCCATTCAAATGGAACACCTTTCTTCATAAGACGACTGAACGGTTGACAACGACCGGCTAAATTCGATATGAATCTTCGAAGGTACGCCAATTTTCCTTGTAAGCTTTTGAGTTCATGAATATCACGAGGTTCTGGGATTCTCAATATAGCATCAATCTTCGCTTGCTCGATCTATATCCCTCGATGACGGACAATGAACCCAAGAAATTTTCCAGACTTGACGCCAAACGCACACTTGAGTGGATTCATCTTGAGTTGATATCTCCTTAACCGTTCGAAAACCCTTTTCAAATCTTCAAGGTGATCTTCTCGCTTTCTTGACTTCACAACCACATCATCAACATAACATTCAATGCTTTTGTGAAGCATATCATCAAAAATCCTTTGCATAGCCCGTTGGTATGTAGCCCCAGCATTTTTCAACCCAAATGGCATCACCTTGTAGCAGTATATCCCTTTCGGCGTACGAAATGCAGTCAATTCTTCATCTCTTGGTGACATGCGTATTTGGTTGTACCCGAATGACCCATCCATGAAAGACAACGCCTCGTGGCCCGTAGTTGCATCAATCATGAGTTCAGTAATGGGTAATGGAAAATCGTCTTTTGGGCATGCTTCATTTAAATCTCGAAAGTCGACGCAAACTCTAACTTGACCATTCTTCTTTCTCACAGGAACAATGCTTGAGATCCATGTGGGATACTTGACTTCTCGAATGAACCCGACCTCGATGAGCTTGTTTACTTCAACTTCAATCAGTGGAACCAAATCAGGTCGAAAGCGTCGTTGAGCTTGCTTAACAGGCCGTACCCCCTTTCTGACAGACAAATTGTGCACCGCCACTTTCGGATCTAAGCCAGGCATTTCTTTGTATGACCAAGCGAACACATCTTTATATTCTCGAAGCAGCTCGACATAAGCCTCCTCCTCATCACTAGTTAAAAGGGCGCTGATATATGTTGGCCGAGGATTTTCCACGTCTTCTAGGTTGATCTCTTTCAACTTATCAACCGTAGCCTCAACTCATTCTTCAAGCTCAGCAGGGGCATCCTCAGCGTCTTCTACATTTTCGTGGGCATCTTCACATATGGTGATATGGTTTACATGTGCAACATCTTCAGCAAGGCTATCGAGACTCTTGAAATCAACACATGTTCTAACTCGTCCGTCTCTTCTTACGACACGAGGCAAATGCAAAGTGATATTGCCTTCATTAACAAACCCTTCTCTTACCAATGCAGCGGTTCTTCGATGTAAGGAGCTTTCGATGTTTCGAGGATTTGCTCTTGGGACAACAATACTCACTTGATTAGATGAATCGACGCTTTCTCTATCACTTTCTTCTTCACCCTTTACTCTTGTGTGCACGATTGTTTGCATCTCCGTTTGCAAGACATTACCACATGAAACTATCAATGTGGTATGTTTCTTCATTCGTGACGGTATCAAGTTTCTAAGCTCATGGAACTTTCTCTCTATCTTCCCGCATTTTACCATTCTTCGAATACCAAGTCTATGATGACTAGTTCTTTCTAACTCTTGAATGGGTCCAAGCCTTTCAAATACCGATCTTCTTCCTCCATGCTTCAAATGATCAGTGGATGAAAATCCTTCTTCGGACACATGATTAGAATTGACTCGTTTTATAGCGATCCGAACGGGATTTGGTGCCACGAACCCGAGACCAACTCTAGTTTTTGGAATTCCAGTATCCTTCCTTTGAGCTTTTGCTGCTTGCGGAATAAGCGTTCCCAAAGTACTCACTTCTTTTGGATCGTATCCAGATTTGAGGAGAAGTTTATAAGCTTTTGGGTCGTAATGCTTGGAATTTTGGAGCTCATCTCCATGTTCCGTCTTAGCTCCTTCAATTGGGCGAACAAACTTTCCCAAGGGCTGCGTGGTTGGTTTCTTGGCATCGAGGTTAGGCAATGGTAATACCAGTCCATCCAGAGGGTCTTTTTCAGCGAGATTCTTGGCTTTCTTCTCTTTGTCATCACTTTGTTGTTTGATGGGAGTTTCCTTATCACGAGCAGACTTGGTATCTTCAAAATAGTATTTGGCATCGGCGAAATAAGACTCAGCCTCAGCAAAAGGCTTATCGTCTCCAAGAACTTTTCTTACCACACCATTTTGACAATATTTGAAACATTGGTGCCAGGTAGAAGGCACAACTCCGTACTCATGCAACCAAGGACGTCCTAGCAACATGTTATAAGAGGTTTTGGCATCTATCACATGGAA